TGTTCGTAAATTCTACGAACGAACGAACGAACAAACGAACATGTTCGCATACGAACGAACGAACGAGCGCTCGTTGACCGCTCTGATTCAAACCAATCACTCACTCATTTTGCCTTCATTTCATCGTTGACTCTCTCGTGAGAATCGATGCTTCTTTCAATAAAAAAAAAATAACAACCGAAAAAATTAAAATGAACGGAATAATTAATTTAAAAAAAGAAGAAAAAATACACAAGATTTTTTGTTTTGAATTTTTACAAGAAAAACGGTTATTTATTGGTTTTTCATAATTGACTTTCACATAAAAATTCAATTCATAGCAATTAATTTCCTATTTATGCCGGTGGTATTGATATTGAGGTCAACCGAAAAGTGATGCGGATTTGATGAGTGGACGTCAATTCAACAAGGCAACGGGAGCAACGTTCTTATTTATTTTGTTTTTAGTTTTTAGTTTTGGTCTAGTTATTTTATTTTCTTCATTCCCGTAGACTTTTCAGCTAAATACCGACCAATCGACCAATGCATCCGCATTACATTTGCACTAATTTAGTTTCTGTTTAAGAATTATTGTTAGATTTGATGATCATCTTTTTCGTGCGTCTGGTTGTATTGTTTCAGTATTTTGTGCGTATGATGTGAGCATGCGAGTTGTTCGGGGGAGTTAGTGCGTTACGTGTGTGAATTCGTTTTTATTTATTTTTGGGCAATGTTTGAGAGTGGCGTTGATGAGAATGCGTTGTTTTACACTGGCCTGCACCAATGCTTTTAGCTATCAATGCATATCACGCAATTTAATGTATTTTCTTATCCATTGAATGGCTGCAATACAACTTGAAATCCTGAATGCTTGAAATCGCTAATGAATTGGTGGCTTTTTGCCAGTGCAATCACACAGCAAGCATTTTCAATCGAATTGAATGTTTCATTGTTTTCATTTTTATTTTGTGTTTATTCAGATCAAATTAATTGGAATGCCCTGAATGAATGCGATATTGATATCTTAAGTGTGATGGTTTGCCTGCTCTGATTGAATTTGTTGTGCAAATGAGATGAAATGATGATCAAAAATTGTATCTCTTTAACCGATTGCAACCGATCGAGAGCATGTATGTGTTCTCAATATATCAAACTTTAAGTGGGGAAATGTATTCGGTTAACCAGATGTTTAATTGAATATAAATTTTACTAGTTGTTAAGTTTTACAGGCGCTTTAGCAATCCCAAACTGATGCCGAATTTCAAATAACCATCAACAAACTTTCAATTATTCTTGTAGCAATTAAGCCCCATTTAAGTATAAATAGTTTTCTACTATTCGATGATAATTAATACTGTTTTCTCTGCAGATATGGCATATGGAAACGAAGAGTCACGTTCGATGTCGCCAACACCGTCGCCAGTGTTGAAGAATGCACCGGATACTTGCCAAACGTTGATGCTATGGGCCAATCATCTCAAGGAAACCTCTAATAAAATCGATGCTGGAATTATGCCACCACCGGCAACCACACTCCCGTTGAACATTCGTCGTACATCACTGACCGGGTTGCTATCGTGCGGATCGGCCGATCAGACATCGCCACCAATACTGAAATCGGAAATCATGGACGAAAACTCGCAGAATTCGATCCTATCAACTGGAGCAGAGAGTTTACACGATTCAATTGACTATGTCAATGAAAACTCAATGGACGCCAGTAATCCGGCAACGCTCATGAATACGTCACCATTGGATATGATGACCGGCGGAGCAGTGTTCCCACCACCGCCGCCGTTAATGAATATGACATCCACCTCACCGATCAATGTGGTCGATTTGCGAGTGAAACAGGAAGAAGATTTGGCTGTACAAATGCAAGACTTAGTTCATCCGAATTTAGGTGAACCGCCAAAATTAATATCGGTCGTTTCTGATCCAACATCGCTAATGGCACCATTCGGTCGACCGAAAATCAACGACCTCAAAGTTCAAGTGAATGATGTTCCAATGTTTAATGCATCCACCACTGATGTCATGCTGCACAACAATTTGGGCACACTCAATCAAATTGTCGTTCCGACGATGACCACCAACCAACAGATGCAACAAACAATGGAGCAGACATCGGTTTTTGCACAACAAGGACTAATGACTGAAGCTGGAACAGCAAATGGCCTGAATCACATGCTGAGTTTCCCCAGCTCAACGCAAACCATTTCACCGAACATTTTAACCACAAGCCCAACAAATCAATCGCCTCTCTCAACCGATGTGATGCTCAATTCACAATCGATCCCAACGATTAACACATCACCCACAAACATGCTCACTGCTGTTGAACCAGTAAATAATCCAACTATCGAATCTGACATCATTATGAACTCGACCATTTCCCCTACAATGATGTGCACCAACGCAACTGGCGATGCCACCAATCTTATGCCGAATCCCGTTGCAATCGGTGATGCGCCAATGCTGGCACCATCGACGCAACCAACTTCCGAGGCTCTGCTGAACAATTTCATGCATGTCGATCCTTCGCTTTCGATCAAACAGTCCGATGCGGCTGTTAAAAATATGATCTTGAACGCGGCTGCTGAAATTTTATCGTCCGAACCGAACAGTATTACTCCCGAAACTGCAACCAATGCACTGATGTCATTGAACACGGAACAAGCGCCGCAAACAACAAACGCGAGCCCACCATCAATCACCAACATTCTGACGCACAGCGACTCAACATCGTCGGTCGTCGTTTTGGCCGGTAACAATAAACTCATTCAAAATGGTAAGTTTCCGAAGAAAATGAAGTAGTTTTGCATTTTTGGAATAAAGAATTTTTTTTTTTGAATACTTTAATTAAAAATTTATCCATATTTGTCTTTTTCTTTAGTTGTGGCAGCTGCAGCCGCTCAAAATGCATCTGACATCATTCAAAATCAAGTGGTTACTGATCCAAATCAGTTTCAAATCGGATCACAGCTTGTAAACGTTCAACCGACGACAACGGCTGCATCGGCAGCAGCCGCCAATCTTAGCCCAGCTCAGCAAAATCTCTTGAATAATATACAGTGAGTATTGAAGCAATTTCGATAGTGAAATTCCTGTTTAATATTGAGTTTTATTCAAAATTTCCTTCTACTTTTCACAGACAAGAAATCTGTGCACTATCCACCGAAACGATGTCATATGGCAATCAAATCTCACCAAAACGCGACGATTTAGATTCTCGACCACGAAAAATTTCGGAACCAATGGCAACTGATCCAATTATACCAGTTCCACAAACACGAGCGATCGTTACAAATGTTCCAACCGTTGCAACAAACACAAATCCACCAACAACTGGAACCATTCCATCGGATCTTCCACTATCAATGTCCGATCATGATTTGATCAGTTACATTAATCCAAGTTGCTTCGATCAAGGTAACCTTCTAAGCTATAAATTTGGTATCGAACACAACCGCTCAACAAATTATGAAATTCATCATCAATTTTTTGAATCAAACCCATGTAATTTTATTCTGATGTTAATTCATTCATTTTAGTTCAACTGTAAACAAGTAATCAACTCGAATGGAAACACCAAATTTGATTTTAAAAAAAAACCAATTCGTCTATGTGCCTATCGATTGAGCCGAAGTCCTGAAGAAAAAATTGAAAGAAACTTCGTCAAAACGAAAAATTGCTCAGTTTTCATTCGCTTATGCTGCTGCAAACCAATATCTTTGTGTCAACCAAAAGTGAAAATGAAGAAGATACCGGTGGAGAGAAAGCGATGCAAATACGCTTAAAATGATGTGAATGTAGATGTTCAAAAGCCAACAATTTTCAATTATTCCATGAGGAGGATCCGCGCTCGCATATGTATTTATGAATATCAACAGCAGCTATGCGACTTAGCCGAGGACATTTGAGACATGAGAAAAATGTGTGAATGTTATTAGATGTTTATTATTATGGTTATTCTTATGCGCAACAGAATTTAAAAATGAATTCACATTCAATGAATTTATAGGGTACGAATGAGATAGGAGAATCTAATTAAGCAAACAACTGAAACAATTGAAGTAAAGTGAGAAAGGGAAAGAAAGAAACACAGCAAGAATATATTTATTTTCTTAATGCGAATTAGATTTTTTTCTAGATTTTAAAAGAGATCATTGTTCACTATTTTTTATTATAAACTAATCAAGTAAATTCGAGTATGATCCACTATCAAAAGAAAACAAAATTCATATAATTTTCGGTGAAGAAAACTACAACAACAAAAAAAAATCCGTTTTTTTTAAGTTACAAAAAAATTTTCATTTCTTTTAACTTATATTTGGAATTCACTGTCAGTGCACTGAATGATGCATAGAAAGAAACAACCGGTCGAATTGTTGAAAAATAGAGCAAGAGACTGTGTGAAATTTCCAACGAGAAGCTCTGAATTTAAAAAAAAAAAAAAAAACAAAATAAACAAAGATGAATTATCAATAAAAAAAAAATTCTGGAAGAAAATTCGGCGAACGAGTTCGATCCATGTTCAACATATTTTTTCTGTTTGCATGTGATATCGTTGTTCAGCGTCGCACTGGCACCATTTGTTGTCATTTAAATTTGTATGGCTTATATATTTAGTAAACAAATTAGATTAGACAAGTTTTTCATCATTTTTCTTTTCTCGTTTTTGGAATAAGATGTTTTGATTTCTTCTTAGTTGCATTAAGAAATTTTCGGCATGGCACACAAAGAAGAATAGAAAAAATTCCGAATTACTTCATATTGAATTTATAACGATTATTATTTTAATTCCTTTCTTATTAATAATTACCATCATTATTATTATTGCTAATTGGATGAATGAGATTTGAATTGAAAGTTGATATACCGACATATATTTTTGGAAGAAAAAAAGGGAACCCCATTATAGATAAAATTAAATTTTTATTCATTTGCCACACAATTATATCTGTAATTCAAACACGTCAAATGTTAATGTCTATATTTAGAAAGAAAAAAACAATACAAAATCAAAATTGCCCAACACCGACATATTTGAAGAAGAACAAGTATGACAAAAACAATACAAATACACAAATTGCTATGATTTATTGAATAGTTATATCATTTATATCGCATATATACAGATTTTATCGTAGCCTTCCTTAAATAAAATACTTGAGATTTTAGTTTTGAGTGTGAAGCACGGTGTGGTCGGTTTCAACATAGATATTTTCAAAATGAATTCTTTTTTATAGCTGTGAATGCTTGAGAGCATAATTTCTTAGTTTTTGGACATTTTGTAGAAAGACACTTGCCATGAAATCAGCCGTTGGCCACCACAGTACCAACATATGCACACGTCCCTTAGATTCGATAGAATCTCTCTTATAAGAGGGTTCATCTTGCGAAAGGGAAGTAAAACCAAAATACACAATCTGTGCACATGCCACGATACTATATCCGTGACTCCACTTAAAGCCGAGCTCTTGAGTTTCTTCTTTTCAATTATTATTATTTTCTTACGCATTTTAAGTACATGTGGACTAATCTTTTGAGATATTTATCTCGCTATGAATTGTATATACACATACACAAAATACGTCAAACAACAATTATTATCTGTATCCACCATTTAATAGAGCGAAAATATTACATCAAATAAATTATCAAAAAGAAAAACAATGTGTATTTTATTTCAAATATTTAAGTCTTTCAATTGCTGTGAGTATTCGATGTAGATGCGTTGCCACCGTGGAATTTGTTTCAAATGATCCAACACGCAACTCAACAACTTGTGCTTCTCGATTCCCTGCAAAGAGGTAAAAATGTGTGGTTTTAGTAGGGAACACGTGGAAGTCTGTATTGTCTCAACTAACCAAAATCTTTTCTTTTATCGGTTCATCTTCGTCGACCACCATCAAACTGTTCGGTGTACCCAGTAAGTCATCCAAATGAGATCGGATTCGTTTCTCATCGCCATGCATTGACAGGTGGACACCAAGCACCGAATACCAATGCTGAAAAAGTCATTAAAATTCATTTATTCGTTAGAAACTCAACCAGATTTTGGGAAATACTCTGAAATACCTCTAATTCCATGGGCGATTGAATCGCTTTTGAAGTTTCAATTTGATTTTCAATGAATGAGAGTCGGGCTGTGTGTTTCCATGAAGTGTTTATCCTGAAATGGATGAAATATTATAAAATGAAATTTCTTTCCCTTCATTATTATTCAAATTTTCTACTCACGAATCTTGTAAATTCGGCAAATTTGGTTGCTGCAATTGTGTTGTTGACTGAATCAATCCAAGCGGATACTTTTTCATTGTCTTATACGGATTGTGCGGTAGTGTTGATATTCCAAGTCGAATGATTGGGTCGCGACTGTTCAATGTGATCCTAATCAAAGAAACAAATCAATTAGAGCTCATTCGACTGCGGAAAAAAGTTTGTTGCTTTTCCAGTATATTTACCAGCTTTCAAGATTCTTGCTGTATGAGTATGCACAACCATTGGATAACATGATGTAAAGAATTCCCGCTTCCGTCACGTGGAAGTAGGAAACTACTGGTTTCAATGTCGATGTGCTCGGGAATAGATCATGGCAAGTAGCTGTTATGTAAATGGAACCTTCATTGAGATTCCATACACGAATTTGACCACATTCGGTGACAACACCACCTAAATCACTATTTATGCTCTGTAAACAACAATAAAAATCGCAATTTATTTTGGATTTCTTTTGGTTTTTGGCCAATTTTCAACTTACGAAAACGCATTGAATCACTGGGCTGGGCATTTGCAGTATTGGCAAGACCGCAATTCCATTCTGAATTTCCAAAAATCGGATGGTACTGTCCTTACTGCATATGAGCACATATTTGGCACAAAGACAGAAGTTTACCACCGGTGATCCAATGTACGTTTCCCAGGTCGGTTTATTCAACACAAATCCAATCACTTTGCAAATCGGTCCAGCTGACGTCGATGTGAAGCTATTTTGAATCTGAAAATCGAGAATTTTTTGTCAAATTTTCCAATTGAACCAATTTTTCAAACAAAAATCAATTTTTCCTGAAATTTCTCGCTAAATATTGAGAAAAAATCACTGCAGACAGTGTTGATTAAATGAAATTCAGTTCTTACCTTGACTTGAAATTCGTTGTAGACTTTGAGTTCAATTTTGGTGTATGGTACTGATTTGCCGGCACTGACATTTTTTATGATTGTTCGTCGTAGTGCTGGTTCATCAATATCGCCCGATTCCTTCACAGGCACTGTTGTGATTGTGGCTCTAGCCGGTGGAACCTTTGTAAGACGATTGTCGAGTTGGCTGCAATCAAAGCATGCACATTGTTTAGCACAATTTTTGGTGAAACAAATTTGAGGTTAGGAATTTTCAGTTCATAAGGACTCACGCAGTATTTATTCTGATCGGTGGAGATTTCTGAACGGAAGCTTCATTGGATATCGCAATTGTGTTTGTGCTTGTGTCTGCTACGCTGCTATCTATAATGGCCGAATCAAAGACAACGCTTCCCTTTGACATTTGCTCGTTCATTTTCTTCTCAAGTGCTGCTGTGTTCGATATATTTCCCGCTGAACCAACAACCGATGTGGCTTCTTTGGCCAATTCATTGCTAAAACACAAGATCGTCATTATGATTTTTTTATAACACACACTAAATTCACTAAATCACTCCAAATACAAAATTTCGAGAATACTTTATGAGTGAGGTAAATATTCGGCTTTGTACGAGCAACAAGAATGATCATTCCTTGAAAGATGAATGTGATGCAAAAAAAAGAGCGGTTGTTTTGACACATAAATAAACGCAGCTGTCATTGCAACTGACATTTGTCTTACCTGTCTTGTTCAACGGAGATGGGTACAAACATTGGTGTGATGCGACGTTTACCATCGGCACGACGGGTTTCGATTTGTTTCTCGATTGCTTTGACCGGTGTGGTATTCTGTGGAATGGCTGGTTTTGTTGATATCGGCACCGAATCCATTTCAATGTCACCGAATTGTGGCGTACTCTTGTTATTTGGTACATTATTGTTGGTGATGTTATTGTTATTTAATACGTTTGCTTCTGCAGACTTATTGCTCTCTTCAACATTTAATAGCTCGGAGTATTCCGGTACAATGCCTTTATCCATGCTCGATTCGCTCAGATTGAGATCAATGCACTTGCCGTATTCACGCTGGAATACGGAGTTCTGTGAAGTAAATTTGTGATGAGTTAAAAAAAAATCGTTTCAGTTGTTGCATTTTTTATGAGAATTAGAACTCAAATTCAGTGCAACCAATTACCTTGTCTTCTGCCGAGAGTGATTTTCCGATTTCATCTTCTGATAGCAACAAAGCAGCGATGGTGCCATCCGTGCTACATGCCAATAGAATGGTTTGATCTTTGATTTGACCCCATGACAAATCCAAAATACTATCACTGAACAAGTCTTTTACCACGGCCAACGGTCGTTTGTAGGTTGTACACCAAATCGAAACAGATCTATCACGCGAACCAATGGCCAAACAGCAATATTGCATCTTCTTTGATGAATCTTTGCGTTGCAGGATTGACTGGTTAAAACGCTACAAATTGACGAGTTTTGATGCATGAGTATTTGATTTTCCTGGATTATTCGATGAATATATGCGCAAATTCTATTGAGATTCAATTTTTGACCGAAAACCTACCACACAGTTCACTGCTTTTCGATGACCCACGAAATCTTTGTCGCATTTCCAACCGTTTCGTTCAATTATTTGTGCCGTTGGACCACCTTGAGTAATGATGGTAAAATTGATTGAAATTGTATGGATAATTCCAATTGGTATTAAAAAGGCCTACCTCCATTCATTGCGTGTGCTGACACCAAGTATAAACCATCTGGTGACCAGGATAATCGTAGAACATGTGTTGTGCCGCCACATTCTTCGAATGGCTCGCTGATTACCTTTTGACAGCCCCAATCTTTTGTTCGCCACACTCGAACTGTCCGATCGTCACTTTGTGATGCCAAAAATGCGCCAACCTTCGGGAAAAAATGATGAAATTTATTGGAAAAAAAAAATGGACAATCTCAATATATTTTCTCTCTTTATTTCTTTGACAAAATGCTTCGGTAAAAATCTTCTCATTTACCGGGTCCCATGCAACTCCTTTAACTAGTCCGCTGTGACCTTTAAGCGTTGTGATTGTCTGCAGATTATTCATACACCAAACAATAATAGTATTATCAACACTGCTGCTAGCTAAGTATCGATCCTGTGGAGACCATGCAACATCAAGAATGTCACCTAATTGAAAGCAAAAACCGCATTTATTCTACTTATTTCCTTTCCTCACACTGAATTCAGATTGAGATTGTGAATGGATTGATTGTTTTTACCTGAATGTCCACGAAGTATTGTTTGACAGCGCCAATTTTCGACACTCTTTGATATACCTGAGCTGCCAAACACTGTGGATGGTCCGATGCCGCGTTTCCAAAGCATGATAATTTTATCATCGCCAGCTGATGCGAGTGTCAATCCGTTGCCAGACCATCGAACCGAATTGACACACGCCAAATGATTGTCCATTTGACAGAGTTTCTGTGTAATGCCACTGGATTTTTCTGCAGTTTCATCGATAACCGGCAATAAATTCCAAATCACAACCTGTCCAGTTCCATCGCTACCTTGTCCACCGGTGGTGAATCTCGTTCCATCCGGGTGTATGTCAATGGAAAATATCGGATTCCCTAATATTTGCCAACAAAGACATTGAATTACGTGCATAAAGTAATGGATTGGGCAGACACTGTCATTTGCCGGTTGCCAATGTGCAAATTTTCGTACAATTTTTTTGCATTCGATTCAATGTTTACTTACCATCGTGATTGACAAATTCCGGTTTGACCAATCTCATGATGTCTGAATGAATTCTACGTGAAAACAATTGATAACAATGTAGAGTGTTTTTCTCCGCAATAATTCACGATTCGATCGACATGGATTCACATTTGTTCGAGTCTGTATGCAGCTTTGACAGCGGTACAAAGGCAAACAAACATCACAAACAAATAGTGGGAAATGTTTCATATGTCAAATGGGAATTAAGTGTTGCCAAACGCACACCGGCGATCAGCATGAAGTTGGCTGCATGAACATGAATTGCGTTTTGAATGTGATTTATAGCGACGAAAAGATGTTGAGTGGATTTGTGAGTTTGATTTTTCTATTTTTATTGAAAAGGTAAAAAAAATGATTAGAAAAAATCAGTCAGAGAATTATAGAACGATTATACGGTAAATGAACCGCTATTCCATGAATACTCCATATATAATTATTTTCAAATCCGAATCATATTAAAACTTATTCATACCGCCGATTTGATATGCAACTCAATTAAATCCTAAATTTATTAGCTTCTCCCACTCGATGAACTTTTAAATAAAAAAAAAACTAACCGTACGACGTTCGCCAAAGAACATTGACTAGAACGATAGAGATCTAGATTAGCTCTAACTGACTATCAACATAAGCATGTGTCTAGACTTGGTACCAAATAAATAAATTACGTTCTAATAGCCTCAAGTGAGTGACAATCGATAAGGATCCGTTTAAGCAACCACATGCATTATGCGGTTTAATCTGATATTGTGACATTAATGAGATATAATTTGGAGTATATGACTATGAGGCAAAAAGGTGTAAATTGATAAATCAAGCAAATATGACATGTTTTTCGACTGAAAATTGCGCAAAAACTCTCCATAATTCCCCCATTAAATGCTTGTATTCGAATTTGGATGTTTATCAAATCTATGTTAGCAGCGCAACAACTTCAACTTTGTTGAGTGCGTTCCACATTTGAAATCTTGATATTGAAACCAGATTCAAAGGCACCATGTATTTTACCATACCATACGCAGCATGACCGAAAATACAATTTCAAAATTTCTCATGGATTCGACGAAAATGAAACGATTTGGCGAGTTCCAGGCGATTTTCTTGTCAATTGGGTAGTTTCGATACGAGTTTTTAATTAAATTTTCCATGTACGGTAAACATTTTACCGCCTCCGTGATTTAATTAGAATAGAGTCTTTAATTAATGGTCTCGATTTGGCGAAACCATTTTCCTCTTCAAAACCGCAACCAAACCGTAAAATGTTGCACTTTATCGAAATATTCGATCGCCACACATTTATGGCGATGTAAAATATTTGCTCGATCAGAATTGCAATTTTTGCCAGCAATTTCATCACGCGACTGCTGACCCTTGAAAGTCAACTTAAAAATTATTGACAGTTATTAACGATGTATGATGCATATTCGCAGCGATGGATATGCCCAAAAATGGCAAATTATTATGGCCATTGGCCGAAATGCGTGCACTGCACTGTACTCAAAAGCCAAGCGGTTACACACAGAAATTCCATGCATCAATGGGCAATAATAAATGGCACTTCGCAAACCGTTTCATTATATTTATGAACTATATCTTAATTGAATTAATCGAGCAAGTGGTCGCGCGGCACAACCACTCACACCAATCGCAAATTGAAAGTGCATACTTTAGAGATGAATTGAAAAGCGACACATTACTTGCACTCACGCATAAATCCATCGAATCGATTGTGGCCATAAAGCAATACACGAACCGGGGAGAAGCAAAAAAATGCGACGTGCGAAAATTTTGCAATGAAATCACTTCAGAATCATGACAAGAGAGAAAAAAAACATATAAACAAAATAGATAGAAAAAAATGCCGTACAACTTGTTGTTCGAGAGTCAAAGCATGCATTTGTCTCACTCTCGAAATTGAATTTTATCCAATTCGATTAATTCTGATTTGATTTTTACATTTCACTCGCAGTGTGTGCGCGCGAGCGCGATTGTGTCGTGTTTACAATCTTTTTAATTTTCTAAAATAAACCAAATCAAACGCAAGTCGGCCACGTATTGCGCACTTGAATCGAAAAATAAATGGTACATATTTGGTAGCGCACAGTGTGTGCTGCACAGCCACAATTCTTAGCAGTTAATTAACGAATACATAAAATTTACGCACACTCGCGACATTCAGATGAATGTGAATGGTCGGTTGGGCTCAATGCGATTGCGAAATAACGCTTAAATATTTATTCGATGGAATAAAATGCCTTTACAAAGATATCAACTTTGTCTTCAGCTAGTGCTAGTCAAAAAATGCATCTAGAGATTATTTATATACGTCTTTATATTTTTTTTCTTCTCTCTCTCTCTCTCTCTCTCTGTTTCTCTCCTCGAATTCGATGAAGTATAGGAAAAAAATCAATTACCCAACGCATTAAAGAAATGTATCGCGACCTAAGTCGCTCAGTTTGCCAAGAACACTTTGAATTGAATGGTCAATGCAAGTGCATTTTTAGCACATGGCTGCTGAATCAATTATATCCATTCGAAGTTCTCTCGCTGTCGCTTCGCCTGGGTTTGGTTTAGTTTGGTTGAGTTGGGTGTGCAAGTGCACGTCTTGTTGTACACCTTCCATTACCCAGAATGAAATATGCCGTTTGTTTCCGTTGAAGCGATAAATATACTCGAAAACTGTTGATGGATTAAATGAATGTGCGAAACTAACAAGATTTATGACATCGATTAAATGTAAATTTTTTTCTGCCATTCGTTTGCGAGTTGTTTTTGTTCACCACACCGAAAAGTGATCCGCTGAAAAAGGCACAAAAAACACAAAGATTTTTTCCATCTTGAAAATTGGCAGAATTTTTCCACATAATTATGCCATAAACGTGGATGATTTATAGCACAAATATTCTATGACTGCATTTGATTGAGCATCTTAGCACTTGATGCTTGCCAACGTTGATTGAACGCCAAAATTGGCCGGAACTGCCAATGTACGTTTGAGCGATGCAAAAGATTTATGGCTCAATTCATTACAACACACACAATTTATTGGCAAAAATTAAGATCCACGAGCAACAAAAAAACACAGCATAAAATTACAATATTCATTAGCTTGAAGATTTATTTGATTATTATTGAAAAAGATTAAGGCTTTTGGTATCGAGATAGCGCCGTGCAGTTTTGTTTACGGTATACTTTCAAGGGTGTGCATTTTTGGTCTACGCGTGTGTAACAAATCGAGTGGAAAAAAAAACAATGGAAACTGAAAAAACCGAAAAATCGAAAATGGAACAAAACTGCTTTACAAAATTACTGTTAACAGACCATCGAAGTTGAATTGATGGGATTTTTGCCGGACGAATTTCCCATTCAATTTTGGATCAGATGCAACAATAGAGTCACTTTTTGTTTGAAAAAAGTAAAATTTTTGTTACCGTATTGTTGCAGCAAAGCCGATGTAATTCAACTTGTAACATTTTTTTTGTCCATATCTAACAACACGATCCAAAGCTTAAATTTCATTTACCGAAACCAAAGAAAAAGCATGAAATGATTAATCATTCGCGAGTGAAAAGAAAAGTTCGTCATTAGTTCGTTGTTGGCATTGATGTCTTTTATACGCGAATACTCTATACGTGTATTGAGATTGATTGATGGTTAATATTCAAATATTTGTTTCGATTGGCAGTCACATGATTTCATTCCGCGGTATTGACAAAACCCAACAACTGGAAAGACAAAAAGGAAGAGCAAAAACACAAAAGTGCTTGAAACAATCAAATCACGTGACGCGAACAATTTGAAATCGACGAAATTTAACGGCTGCCATGGGAAAATGGTGCAACATTGTTGAGCTAACAATTGGTTCACAACGATGTGGATTCAGTGAATTTGCACATCGGAGAAATGAGACACGATGATCAATATTATCGCTTCGAGCAATTTTCGCTTGATTTGATGGGAATAGACATTCCACAGCGGCTCACACACATTGTGGCTGGCGGTTTGACCGTCACACACAACTCACATAAACATGATGGTTTATGTACTTTAGCAATGTTACACCATCCACAAAAGAGCAAAAAAAAACCAGAACACTTTTTCATTTCTTTAATTCATTTCGTATTCATTTGCAGAGTCATTGCATTTGAAATGCACCGTCTACTCGTTCGCTTCGAAATTGGAGCATTTAAGCATTAAAATGCTAATCATTTCCGTTTGCATTGAGTCAGTCATCGTTATTAAGTTTTGATGTTTGATTCGCTGTCTTCGTCTACTCACTTACGACGGTGGATCGAGCCGTGCAGAGAGTGAATGCGTGTTGAAAGTATGCAGTTTTTTGAATTTTTATCGATTTGTGGATTTAATTAAAAGATTTGTGCTTCGAGCATTCTGTAATTATGGTTTTATAGCAGCCGGTTGAACGATTCCCTTCGTCGTCTGCGTGTTAATCACCATTCAGCATGCACACTATTCAAATGCACAGTGCACATGGACACACAAACACACACACTTCAAACCGAGACAGCATATAAATATATTCTGACGAACGTTTGCGACCGATTGAAAACTAAATGTCAACGCAAATATTTTCTTTACGAAATTTCGAGCGCATTAATTGATTACAAACCGTAATGTATATCGGGCTAAAAAGCTATAAACGCTTGAAATTGCGCGTGCTCAAATTGCATAAATAATTCGACAGTGGTGTTATTATTCAAGATGGAAAAATGCATATACATATGATATTTTTTTTATCCACATTCAATGGGGCGAGATCGTTTTTCAATGCAGTGATCGATCGATTGCAACAGGGTAATTAATTGCCGGTTCGAGTTAAAAGTCTTCAGCTTTCATCTTAAATTAACGTAAACACTTTAAATTAGATCGATTAATTTTCAGCAAACAACTCTCGAGAGAGCCTCGGTTTATGTTAGAGAGGGTAACGAAATACAGTAAAATTTCATCGATATTCAAAAACCTTTTCATGTCATCATTTTCGAATCACAGAAAATCTCCGCCGCTTTTCGCAATTATGCGAAAGAGGAATTAAATTCCATAAAAGGGCAATCAGCATTGCTAATGGGCTTGAAAAGAAAAACACAAACCATGTGCCAATTACTGCACTATATGCAAATATTCATGATGACCTACTAAATGTTGCGTGGCTGCTGCGAACCACAACGTTGA